AACATTTCCCCGTTCATGCATTGCACCGCGGCTGCCCTCCCAAGTCCATAGAAAACGGTCCTAGCACCGTTCTGCGCGCAACCATGACAAAGCGCAAGGTGTACCTGGACATGGAGGACTTTCACAAGGGTAAGTTCTTCGCGGTGCTACCTCAGGGGCTAACGGAAGTTTCTAATCCATAACGCGCTCCTAGCGTTGAGATTGTTGGATGCCAAACTCGGCACAGATCCCATGATCATGGCCTTCGCTCCTATCCGGATGATCGTGGCAGGGGGCTTTTTCTCTGTGATGTACCTGAAGAACAGAAAGACAACTACGGACATGGACTTCCTGCTTGACCCGGAGTGGGCCAACGACGAGGATATCAAGGTTCCGTTGCAAAAGTCCATCCGGGAAGTCGCCAACGAGGCTCACTACATGGAGGACTGGGCCAACGAAGATGTGGGAGTGTTCGTTACAGAGAAGACGCGGAAGATCCTGATGGAGGACGCCATCAAGCAAAACATTGTCCTCTGGGCCAGTGGCACCCTGCTCGTATTTGCAGCACCTGTGGAATGGGCGCTGGAGCGGAAGTTGCGCCGCATCTACTGCGCGGAGAGGGGGCGCAAAGCGGAGCTTGATCTGGCCGATGCCGTTGCAATGCTCAAGTTCATGAAAGAGAGGAAGGGGGGCAAGCTGGATAAGGAGTACTGTCGAACGCTGAACAAGAATGGCTTTGATGTCATGCCAGACGTCGAGACCATGAACTGTGTGGCTGCTGCTTACAAGGCAACCTATGGCGAGGATGTGTTTCTGTGAAGCCATCTCAGTCCCTTGCAGGAGGGACGTGGTTAATTGCTCCAAGTGCGGGATGATTCAGGTCCAAGTAGTTTGAGGGGCTGTCGCCGACAGTCGGGTTGCGCAATGGGCTCGCTATGAACTCGCGACTGTACTTGGCAAGGAGTTACGTGCACACCGCCAGATGGTGAAGCGGATGGTCCCCTTACTTTTGAGACAAAAAAACGTGGTAGCGTAGGGCTTGCGGTTCAGATCGTATAAAGCCAGCCAACATTCGTAATGATGTTGCGGCGCGCAAAGATTTTATTCAATCCGCCGTCCTCTAAGACGAGTTTTCCTTCCAATATGTAACGTCCGGGTAATCCGTCCAAATCGCTGGCCGAGAGCGCAGGAACAGAGCCCGTCCATGCAGGACCTATCAGCGGTGTATACGGGGGCCACGGGTCGTCTTCCGTCTTTCGGATGATGTGCTTGCGGTTCCGACGCATTCCTAGACTTAGACGCCAATTAAACGCAACGACAAGTTCCTCAACGAGACATGCGATGATAGCGTAGCGCACGGGATCTTCGTCCCTGGGGTCGCTGATCGACTGTAATGACCACCCCTTCTGATACCAAAAGTATTCAGTTTCGGTGCCTAATACCTCGTACACGCCAGATGCCATAGCTTCGTACATTCTATACAAACATCTCAAGGGGGTATCGCGAACGCGCCAAATCGGTATGCTCTCCAGATCGATCATATTGTCGTGGCGAAGAAGAAGCAATTCTTCATTTCCGATCATTTCCGCCGCCGGCATAACGTCGGACACGGGAAATTTCCACGAAGGGAACGGAATAAAAAGGCGTACTAGAGCCCAGACCGGGTGCCTCTCAAATGCCCGTAGTCTCGTCAGGCTGCCGCGTAGGTTTAACGGCGAGCGCCATGTGCGAAGCCGATGAATCCATTGTCGAATCCTTAGCGAAAGGGGCTTCTTGCGGCGGGGCGGCGGCATCTTCGTCTGTCTATCACGAGAAGCCGAATGAATGTTAGAGATAATTGGTGTTGGTGGGATAGACCCAGAATGGTTGAGGTTAACGAAGATACTCCATGCTTGTGAGGGTAGTGTTCTGAAGACGAGGAGACGAAGAGTGAATTATAGAAAGTAAGGATATGTTTACTGCATCGGTTGGCGCCGACCGGCGAACAGGCGGTCAAGCATGGCACTACCAGTGCACGGACCATCCTGGTGCCAGATGAGATCATCACATGCACCCTCCACTTCACCTGCAGCTGCTATAAAGCCCGTCCTATTGTTTCTTTGCTTCCCAATGCCAGATCCGCGCAAAGCGCCTAATGATTGCATGATGATATAGCCGACATACAATGTAACTTTCACATACCCCAATAGTATAGTGGGCCAATCGAAACCGGACGGTTGAGAGAGGATGCCACGAATGTGTCACCAGACAGGGCCAAGATAGTATTCCCTGCGCTGTTTGATGCGTGCTTGAACCTCATGATCTAGTAGTATATATTTCATCCAAAAGGACCATTTCGGGTATATAACAGCGAGAGACGGGAATTTGGGCAAGAATGTAGAAGGCCGTCAGTTTCAAGGGCGAGCTCCAGGCCGTCTCTGTCACTCTGGACTCAAAATAATAGCCCATGAACCTGAGGAAAGCCTCGAGTCTACCAGAGCGTCAGATCCACTTCGACCTTGACAATCGCCCCAGAAAATCCCCACAAATTCCAGACAGCATACCTGAATGGTTAGCAGTTGAACAAATTCAGTGTAGGGGCTGCCTCCATTGGCTCGCCCTAAACTTCGACACGTCTTCTCACTGTGGAAGCGAAACGTGTCCTAGTGTTCTGATGTTGCTCAATATGTCCGAGACCTGACAAGATAAAATGGAGTTGACTTGACACCGTACTATGCATAGATACCACCATTGCAGAGCACTTCAGATCGATACGAATGCTGTATCCACGATGCTTTGAAGTGGCGGCATCCCGCAGGTGTGTATTGTGGGGGAGTACCTAAATAGAATGACACGACGCAGCTAGATTAGGGCGTCAACAGCTCTTTCGATAAATTTGAGAGCTACTGTTGACAGCTTGATGTGGAGAGCTTCTGATTAGTATTGTTATCCCCAACTAGTAACCATGAAGCACACTGAGTGATTTATCGATGAGTTAAAAAGCAAAACATCATGCATTCATTAAGCTCTAACATCTCTGGTTATTCATGAATAAGTGATCTCAAGATCACGCATGGTGTATTCATAAAAAACAGGGTGTAGTAAGTAGTAACTAATAGTAGTAGTGAAGATGCCCACTCGGTTCCTGAGTGGATCCATGGACCAATTAGGCAGATGTCGGGCACGTGTCAACTGTCCTCCACAGCCACACCAAAATAAACTCATACCAGGCTAACAATCATTAAAAGGAGCATCAGCAGCAGCATCACTATCACGTTAGAGTAACGGGTGGCCTGGGGGAGGCTGGAGAACAAGTTAAACTTCACACTGGCCCACAGGTGAGACGCCAACCGCGAGCCACGCACAGTTACCGGGGCAGATTCATCAGCAGCGGCGTCATCCTCCCCCGAACCGCTTCTTTCTTTAGCAACACCCGCAGTGGAGTCGCGATCGTCCACCACAGCGAGGCTTTGCTCTTTGCATGGCAACTCTCGTCCGTTTGCCTTTTGACTTTTCTCCTGTTTGTTGTCATCTCTCACTTCCCTTACTTTCTGTTTCTATTCCTTCCTCCAACCATTTGGTACATGAAAGTATCTTAACAACATCTATCGCGCTGCAATTATTCCGCAGCGGATCGACATCTCAATTCCTTATCGACGACTTGGATTCTCGATCTCATTCCACCCCACACCCACACCCGCCGCGATTGGGATAACCTCCATCCCAGCGCATCGCCAACATGCGGTCCAGAGCATCAGTCAAGCCCTCGCAATACCCCCCGATTCCATTCCATGCCATTCGCTTGTTCGGCCTGATTTCCACCTTCATTGTGGGCATTATCTTGGCCGTATTCATCAACCAACTGCATAGCAACAACTACAAGCTCCCGTGGGCTTTCTTAATCGTAAGGCAACCACATCCACATTACCCACCATCTGTGTTATACACTCCACTTACACCCATCTCAACTCATCAGCTCCTCATAGCCACCGTCTTCTCCCTCCTAAACTATATCCTCACCACCCTAACCCACTGCTGCTATGGCCTCTCTCCGCGCCTCAACCTCGTCACCAACAGCATCGTCCTCGTCCTCTGGCTTATCGCCCTCGGCCTCCTAAGCTGGAGCATGTCCCACACCATCCTAACGACCTGCAACACAACCTACTGGGGCACTTCGACCGGCATCAGCGTCTGCAGGATCTACAAGGCCCTCTTCACCTTCACCATCGTCGCTGCGACATCCCACATCGCCGCCGCTGCTCTGGACGTCATCGTCTACCGCCGCCAAACCCGCCTGGGCCAATACGACCCCATGGCTAGTAGCACCGCTCTCAACGACTACAAGATGCACAACCGCGACAGCAGCATCATGTCCGGCGGCGTTGGTCCCTACCCGCCTGATGAGGCCGACCACCCCTATTACGCCAACCACCCCCAACAAGAACCCCTGTACCAGCACGCCCCGGAGCCATTGTACCATCCCAGCCAGCGTATGCCGCCCCCTCCTGCGTATGGGGCTGGCTCGTTGGAGCAGCACCATGCCGACGAGGCGGAGGAGTACTCCGATGCGGCTCCGGTGCAGGGACGTCGGAAGCCAAGAGTGAGGTTTAGTGCTTACGGGGGTACTGCGGGTTATAGTCAGCCAACGGAGCAGACGAGTTATGATCCGGCTGCGTATCGGTAAATGATCGTGTAGGAGTTGGGTGTACGCGTTCCATGAATGCAGGACGGTCACGCGACTCCCTTGGGACAATCATCTGCGGGTTGTCTCTGCGTGAGAGCCAAGTCAGCTTATCTTGGCTTTCCCTTGCCCTTCAAACTGAACTGATGTGTTACGATCTTGCATTGTAAAATGGGTATAGTTCCTTGACTTTTGAATAGGTTCATATGCTGGCGGGCGTAATGCAGGAATTTTTTACTCTTCTTTTATTTGTCTTCAGCGATAATGCCATTTGATCTGGTTGTCATATGACTTGGATAGTTTAGTATTAGATACCTGAATACCTTATAACATGTACTTGGACAATAATCCAGCTTATGAAGGGATATTAAGATATTATTTGGGAGATGTCCACGGACACATGATTCATTCATTCATGGTCCGTTTCTAGGTTGGAGATAGATCTAAGCATGTAGTTTCGGCAATCCGACCGCCAACAAGGCGTAGCCAGAATGGTCACTTGGGACCAAGGATAGAGGAAAAGAGAACAGATATCATAGAATATGCATGTAACATCCAAAAAAAAGTCACATGTTCCTTTTACATGATAACCTCGTTGGCGACGTCCTAAGAGTATCGTTAGCCTCATGTTTCGAGATGATGTGGATGGATGGGGTTACATACGCGCTTCAACTCCTTAAACGGCAGGCACACACAGTTCTGTACCCGTACCTCGTCACCCACGGCACACTCCTTGCCCAGGATGGTGATGCTTTGAACCTTGATGCCGTGCTTGACAATGCTGGTCGAGTGGCTGCCTGTGGGGATCGGCGTACCCTCAACACGGGCCCAGGCGCCAACGCGGCTGCTCCAGCCGATGATCGAATGCATCACGCATGCGTCGTGCTTGATCTCGGCGTCTTCCAGCACGATTGAGTCCTTGATACGAGCGCCTGCGCCTACGACCACACGGGGACCAATGGAAACGTTGGGACCCAACTTCGCTGTCGGGTCCACTGTTGCGGAGGGGTGGATGTAGACTGGGGGCACGATGGCAGCGGAAGGAGGGGTCAGTTCGTCAGATCCGGCCTGGAAGGCCTTCTGGAGGTAAAGGGCGTTGGCGGGGACGGCGGAGCCGGCCGTCTTGATCTGGCGCCAGAAATCTTTCGTCTCGTGGACGAAGAAACGGTTGCTGTCGGCCAGATCGGAGAGGATATCCTGTTCCAGACGAAGGACTTCGCTCTTCTCTGCCTCATCCTCCGCTGCGATGAAAGAGGACTCCAAGTTCTCGGACGAAGGGTATGACAGCAGGCGAGGGCGGGTGGTACGGCGCTTGATAGCACTGCGGATGGAGGGGAAAATGCACTCGGTGGCGAAGAGGTAGACGCCGCAGTTGATGAGGTTGGAGATGTGCGACTCAGGCTTCTCAACGTAGTGCAGAACCCGTCTGGTATGGGAATCGGAAACAATGCAACCGAAGTTGGTGGCGGCATCGTTGTTGACTCTTGTTCCAAGGATGACGGCCTCCGCATCCTTCTCCTCGAACAGCTTGAGCATCTCGCCAAGGGGGAAGGAGCAGCAGACGTCAGCGTTGAGGACGAAAATGCGCTCGGGCTTGCCCTTCAAGATGGCATCGCGGAAATGGTAGAGACCGCCAGCGGTGCCCAGAGCCGTGTATTCACGCAAGTATTGCATCTTGAACTGAGGGAACTCCTTGGCGGAGTCCTTAATGAAGTCGCGGAAGACGGTTTCATCGTAGTAGCCGACGAGGATGACCTCACGAATATCGGGGATCTTGGCGAGAGCTTTCAGGCAATGGTGGATAATAGGATGACCGGCGACTTCGAAGAGGGGCTAACAAGGAATTCGAGTGTGAGTAGCGGCGACAAAGCTTGCGGGTGACGAAATCGAGGGCTTGGTGCGGAGGGGTTCATGAATTGCGGGATAGCTAAGGCAGAGAGGGGCAACCAACCTTGGGCATATCAAGGGACAGAGGCCTGAAGCGCGTTCCTCTAGACGGACCTCCGACCTAAGTAAGGAAAAATTCCGTCAGCAAGATTGATACGGGAGGCAGAAGTTACTAGCGTCACATACCAAGATCACAGCCTTGGTGGAGGCCACGTTGGTGTGCTCCCGCACTGGAACTTGAAGCATTGGAAAGGTGGGGGGTATATAAGTGGGGGGTTGGTGTTCAGGAATGAAAAGTGAGGCCAAATCTCGAGCACAGACAAATTGATAGATTAGAATCCGTAAAGATTTTGGGAAAAGGAACGAGGGGAAAAGACGCAAGACAAGGCCGAGGGGGAGCGAGCAGTAAGTTGTTGTCCAGGCCCACCGCCAGCTCTCCTTAAGTCTTAGCGCTCTCCGGAACAGGTCAGGAGAAAGAGAGAGCCTGAGAGAGTGACACGGTACTGAATTGATGGATTCAGGTGCCATTGGTTGGCTGGCGGCACCTGACTGGCTGACTCCTCTCCACCGCTTTCAGCCTGGGGTTTCCCACTTTTCTCGGGACCATCTCTCCATCTATCTACTTACTTTCTCACCTTTGGTACTACGGAGTACGGAGTACTATCTTATTACTTATAGTTTCCGGGTTGGGAGCGTAATTCATCGAAAAAGGATAGATCAACTCACTTTCAGCTCCCACATCCATCACATACTTTTCTCAAACAGTGGCTGCTTCTTGATACTAACCCAGTCTTCCAATCATGTCCGACAACAGAACAATCTTCCCGATTTGGCTTCGTTTCATGCTGCTGTCAGGGTTCCTGCAGATGTTAAATTGACCTCTCTGGCATAATATTTCTATGGATCTCATTCCATCCCTGCTGCTTTTACACATCCATTCACTTTAGTTATCAGTTGGTGAATTGACCATGGCCTGCAGTTCTAGTTTCTCGCATGAACTTAAAATCTCCTTTGCCCCCTACCATTCACTGGTGTAAAATGCTTCATGACACTCCCCTCCCAAGGCCAAATCTCTTCTTCCTCCTCAAATGAACTTTTCTGTTGGAAACCTCTGTACTTCTATCGCACATTCAGGCTTCTATTAGCATACCTTTCCCCATTAGTCTGAAATCCTTCTCGTCTCATTGTAACTCTCTGTTTCTCACTTCACTCGCGCTCTTTCGATCCCATCAAGTCCCTAGTCTCCTAGGCTCCTACTGACTTTTATGTCATTACTGACCCTGGAGATACGACGAACCCCTTTCAGCAACCAGACGGCTGAACGAGAAAGTATATCTCCCAGTGAGTCCTACTGACCGATTTAACTTTTAACCATCACTTACACCTTCTTAGCTGTCTCCCAGGCTAGCAAGATGGCTCCTCCCGAAGCCCCCGATGTGGACTCCATAGATCTCATTGCCAGCGACATGAAGGAGCTTGTCCGGAAAATCCAGGACCTACGCCACATCGGAATTGAGGACAAGATGATTGTGCTACCAAAAATCTGCGTCATTGGTGACCAGAGTGCCGGTAAAAGCTCTTTGATCGAGGGAATGAGCGAGATCAAGGTGCCACGAAGCGCGGGAACATGCACCAGATGTCCAATGGAGATCAATCTCTGTGAGGGCGAACCTGACCAGCCCTGGACTTGTAAGGTCTTCTTGTCGCGGAAGTACATGTATGATGCCTCTAAGAAGATCGGTAAGATTTCGAAGAAGTCTCAGTCCCTCGGGCCTTGGCAGGAGCAAGAACAACAAGAAGACGAGCTTTTCACAACACTGACAGACAAGCTCGACCTCGTCGAAGTGATTAGATGGGCGCAGCTCGCCATTTTAAACCCAGGCAGACCTTCCAGCGAATATTTGCCCGGGCAAAACAGTGAAACAGATCCTGATTATTGTCAAGTGAAATTCTCACCCAACGTCGTGCGCTTGGATATTGCTGCGCCGGGTTTTCCTAACTTATCATTCTATGACTTGCCCGGTGTTATCAGCCAGGCTGAGCAGGAAGAAGAACGCTATCTTGTTCATCTGGTTGAGAACCTTGTCAAGCATTACATTTTGCAGAAGCACTGTATTGTCTTGCTGACGTTGCCGATGACGAATGATGCCACAAATTCAAGCGCTGCAAGGATCGTACAAACCACCTCTGGAGCAAACGCAAGGGCAATGGGTGTTCTGACCAAGCCCGATCGCATTCAGACAGGAGAATCTTATGCTCAATGGATTGAAATACTTGAAGGAGACAAGTTCTCGCTTGGCCACGGTTACTTTGTTGTTCGTAACAACCCGACCCCGCGGTCGAGCACTCCGTCGCTCGGGAAGAGGAAGAAGCCTTCTTTGCGGGAGAGCCCTGGGCCACAGATCTGGCTCTTTATCGAGACAAGTTTGGGACCCGAAATTTACAGGCGACACTCTCCTCTCTGCTTCTTGAGCAGATTCAAGGATGTCTACCGGACTTTATTGAGAAGATTAATGCCAAAGCAGAGAGGATTGAGGCTGAGCTCCGGACTCTCCCAGACCCGCCCTCTGCGAATGTTCCATATATTATTTGTGGAAAGTTAAACCAGCTGAAGGAGCAAATTCGCGCTCATATTGATGGTGGGTCAGCAACTTACCCCATGCAGAAGATCTGGTCGCATATTGCCATGGATTTCAAACGAGCCCTGATTACGACTCGGCCCACTGTGAGAATGCTCTCTCCAAGTGATAAGTTCCCTGGCCCGACGGTCCGCGATGCAGAGGGGAGCGATTCGGACTGTGAGATGACAACGGTCCCGCAGCCAGTCAAACGCAAGTCACCAGGGGAGCCTGGGATTATCTCAAGTGTACCAGAAGCGAGACAACAGCCAAATCCAGCTACAACCGGGACCAGAAATGGATTGTACTCGACAAACCATTTCGACAAGTTCAACGCTCCGGCCCTGATGTTTACATGGGAGAAGATTCGCGAAATAAACGAGGATTCATATCGAGCTGGACTGCCGGATCAGACGGACCGAAAGCCATTGAGATCATGAACCAGATGAGCGTGAAGCACTGGTACGACCCCCTGTCAGTGTTCCTGGTTGCCACCTATCGCCTTGTCCGGGAGATGCTGCACAAGCAGCTAGATGAAGTCTTTCTGCAATATCACCAGACGGGTCTCTATCGAGAACTCAAGCGAATCATTGAGAGCTTCTTGTATAAGCTACGAGCTGCTCATTTCGAGCATGCGCAGGAAAACTTCAGCATTGAGTTATAACAAACCATTTACAATGGCACTTTCGGCATTGGACCAGTCAATCAAGTCTGCTTACAGCTTTCTTGCGGAGAGGCGGCGTGTTGCTCGTGCTGGTCCTACCTTGACGCTCAGGGAAAGTACCCTAGAGGAGACGCCCGACGTGAAGCTGAGCTTAGGAAGCTTACTGATGCCGAGCTGGGGCGCGACCAGTTCTCGCAGGAGCTGACCATGATGGCGGTAAGTCGATCTCGTGCCAAAATTTGAGTAAAACCTAACTGCCCTGGCTAGACAAGTCGCGGGTACTACGACTTGGCGAGTTCGCGGTTCATTGATTCAATTTGCCAGAGCGTGCACACTAAATTGTTCGCAAAATGCCGTGACGACCTCATCAAGGAGATCGAAAGAGAGCTTTGTATTTTCGATGAAAACGGTACGTTTCACCCATTCTATCAGGAATTAGATACTAAGACAATTCCTTGCCTTCCAGCATTGGAAAGATGTCTTGAGCTGATGGAGGAGGACCCGGACCGCCAGAGACGCCGTCAATTCCTTCTCAGAGAAAAGGAGCGAATTGATAAGGCCCAGGAGTGGCTAAAGCTAGCGAGGAAGGAGGATGACCAGGAAGACCCATTCGAAAATGTGAGGATCAAATCACAGCCTCCTGACGATTGGACTACTTAGTTGCGGCTTGGAGAGCGTTGTGTGAGCCTTTTCCTGTCCACAGTGCGTGGCTACAACAGAATCTACTCTGGCGATCAGATGTGTAGGCTGGTGACTGGATTTACGAGTGGCCATGTTGGAAAAGTATACAGTTCAAGCTGGAATGGTGATGGATGATGGATGGATTGACCGCAAGCATCGAGGCGGGGTAGGGAA